AAACTCATTTTTTACAAATTAAATATTTCGACTATTGAACGTATGAAGCTCATACAAATAAAACTTGATTGAAAACGAAATCACAGATTTGTCCATTAACTAGCAGAGCGTAACTAACTGGTGTTAGCCGTCTTAACGGAATTTTTCCTGTGAACCACCGTGTATTGTTCCAAGAGTTTCATGTTTTTATTCAGCACCAGTCTGAGTTCCCTGATTTCTTTGCCCAATGCGTCAATCATATCGGCGTTCCGATCGACTTTGTTGTGCAAAGGCGTGATGGCCGCAGAATCGCCAATATCATACAGCCCGCTCAGATCTTCCATAATATTGTTGTTGTTCATTTTGAAACTATTCTGTGCCGCCCCTTGGCCATACATCGTGCCCCGTTTGGCGATTTCATAGGCGGCCTCTAAAATGTCTTTAGGAAGACGTTTTTCGCCCGGATTCAGTGGCTTAACGTTCAGCACTACCCTGTAGGCCTTAGGGGAAACTAGTGCCGTCCAATGTAGCAAATTCAACAAGTACCTAGGCAGATACCCGTTGAACAGCGCCAGCTCAATGTAGGATATGAGCTTGGTCTGTCGAACCAATTTTGATAAACCTGCCGTTTTCTGCAAGCCTTGAATATCGTGAACCGCAATACCGACAAGGAGATTCATTAGAATTACAGTCACAAACAGCAAGAACATGATGTAGGTTACTTGCGCGCTTATTTCCAAGAGGAAGGGCGGATCTTCCGGATCGTCATCAACCAGTAGATCGAGACTCAGCTCACCGGACATCATGACCATGACCGTGATGAGGCCGATGAAAGGGTTGGCAAAAGTGGACGAATCGGGAAATATTACGCAAAAACTGATGGTGAAACCTATCAGCAGGCAGGAGTAAGCTAGTAAGAGTTTGGCAAATTCCTTTTGCACTCTCGTATACATTGCAACGTACGGGCCGAACACTGGCAACTGTCCAACCATCAACATAAGATTGGTCCAACCAAACAGAACAGCAAAGGCCCCTACATGGTTTTGCCAAGTGTACGTTCTTCCAGTATAAACGAACGAAATTACAAACACACTTGTAATTACCGCCCATTCGATAATGTTTTCGGGGTGCGATAAGTATTGTCTGACTGAAGGATAGCCCGCAATGCCGTACACTTTCCGTAAAATCTCGCAGCACGTTATGCCAACCAACGCAAACCATTGCATTTCGATCACAAACGGATTGTTCCTCAACATGTGTCCCATCATGGACTTCTTCTCGCAAAGTTCGATCACATTTTGGGGCTGCGTATCATTCATATTCTTTCCATGGTTGTAGCAATTGTGTGCCAAAGCCGTCAGAACATAGAGCGATAAACTCAAAACGAATATAAAGCAAAACAACATCCGAGCGATGTAATACTTCCTGATTTTCTCCCATTTGAGATACAAAAACGCCGAACACAATGGATGGAGCAAAATCTCCTTTTGCCCTTCATCCACGAACGTATTTAAAAAGCTTATCTCTCTGGGGTGGCAGTGCTGTAAAATGCTTCTGAAGTCCAGCTTCAGCTCCACCTCTCGATTTGAGGATTCGGGATGACGATGCAAAGTGATCGCCTGGTCCAGCTTTTGACGAACCATCACTAGAGAAGCGGGCGTTTTCCGTATTATAATCCCCAAAGCGGTATTTCCGTATTTCGATTTGGCCGTCACATCAGCACCGTGGTATAAAAGCTTTTCAACGCATTGGGAAAGCTCGTTTAGGGCAGCCATATGGAGTGGCGTGTACCCGAATTGATCTTTCGCGTTCACATCTGCTTGATGTCTGCAAATGAGAAAACAATTAATTCATTTCACCTATGCAGCAACTGGTCAAGTGGCGCTGAATAATGCGTATAATTCCAAATCAAAACTCATTTATTGTCTATTTATCAATTAAAATTCCACCATCATCAGTTTCTATGTGTAGCGTTGTTGCTACTTTAAGCCTTGGCATATATTTGATATCAATTATATGCGAAGAAAAGAAGAAAACAGCAGGTTTATCAAAATTGGTTCGACAGACCAAACTCATATCCTACATTGAGCTGGCGTTGTTCAACGGGTATCTGCCTAGGTACTTGTTGAATTTGCTACATTGGACGGCACTAGTTTCCCCTAAGGCCTACAGGGTAGTGCTGAACGTTAAGCCACTGAATCCGGGCGAAAAACGTCTTCCTAAAGACATTTTAGAGGCCGCCTATGAAATCGCCAAACGGGGCACGATGTATGGCCAAGGGGCGGCACAGAATAGTTTCAAAATGAACAACAACAATATTATGGAAGATCTGAGCGGGCTGTATGATATTGGCGATTCTGCGGCCATCACGCCTTTGCACAACAAAGTCGATCGGAACGCCGATATGATTGACGCATTGGGCAAAGAAATCAGGGAACTCAGACTGGTGCTGAATAAAAACATGAAACTCTTGGAACAATACACGGTGGTTCACAGGAAAAATTCCGTTAAGACGGCTAACACCAGTTAGTTACGCTCTGCTAGTTAATGGACAAATCTGTGATTTCGTTTTCAATCAAGTTTTATTTGTATGAGCTTCATACGTTCAATAGTCGAAATATTTAATTTGTAAAAAATGAGTTT